GTTGATTGTTTCTTCATTAAATCGGTTTTTGATCCCCACTATTGTTTCATTGCCAATCCTTGCATTAAGATCTCCCAGGATAATTACTTCATCTTGCTTTGGAATACCGTTGAGGGTTCTCTGCAAGTTCTGGTAAAAAGTGTCAATCTCTAACCGGGGTTTGTTGATGTCAGGCGCGTAAACACTGATTATATGACTTGTTTTGCTCTTCTGAAGTTTAACTGTTGGTTGCAGCAGTCTGTTGTTGACGTAGTTTATGCCGCTTATGTTGTTTTCCTACTTTCCATTCATCAATATGCCTACTCCCGACGTTGCTCTTTCATTCTTTTCTCTTCCGCTGTATATAAGAATGTAGCTTCCAAACCTGGTGCTGCCCTTGCCTTTCTTTTTCGTTTCTTCTATAGCACAGATATCGATTCCTTTATTTTCCAGTTCCATTATTATTTCCTGATGTTTGTTGTTGAAGGAGGTTACATTCCAAGTCGCCACTCTAAGGGGTTTGGATTTTCTTATTCGTTTCCTTGTTCTCGCCGTGTCGTCATCAAAATAATCAGTCCTATCCGAGGCTAAGTTGTTGGTTCCATTAGCATAAGTTTTTTTGACCGTGGGTAGGTTGCTGGCCTCTCCCATGAATCCTCCTCCTTTATCCAGGCTTGGGACCGGCAACGTCAACAGTTGAGTTACTTAATTCACCCAACCGCTAACGCAGGCGGAGTTATCCAATCCAATATGTGTTTATTATTTTTATTGATCTTTATGATGCTTAATTATTAGTCGAAATCTATCGACTTTCAGCAACTATCCAGCAAACTTAATAAAGTGCTTAATAAAATCAACGTCTCATTGACAAATTTGGACGAAGTTGAAGGGTTATTTAGTGCAAATTTTTAAAATCAGGCGAGTCAAAAACATACGAATTTTTATTATATTTACTTTCAATCAAATCTTTAAAATTTATCTCATTATTTGATTTATTTACCGCATGGCTTATATGGATTCAGTTTTTAGAAAAAAATGTCACAAACACTTATTCACACAATTCAACAAAGGACACAATAGTACAGTCACTAAAATAAGATTCTGTGTACACGATTAAAAATTGAATTTAAAAATCAAGGTCATTAATCCAGTCCAGCACAGAGTAAGTGGCCTCAAAGAAGTCGCTCTTGTCGACAGTAGGGCATTTTACACTATTTTATTAAATTCCCTAAGTCCCCTTACCCGCGGATGGTGGGAGGTGTAATATTGCTCAGAATCGGGAGCCAAGGCAAATCTTGTGTCAAAAGGTGTGGTCTTTAAACAGCCGCTAATTGTTCTCGTTGTTTCGTTGAGTTTGGTGTCGATAGTCTTTACATGGCAGCTGTTCAGCCAGACACAGCACAGTATTCAGCCACAAAGCTAAGAGCTGAAGTTTTGAGAGTCGATGCTTTTGCGTCCCAAGTAGTACCGCAGAGTGTGTGAATTATATTATTTCTGGTGTTTATTTAAGCCGCGGTGGTAGCTAGTTGTGCTTTGTATGGAAGAGTTCAGTCCATTGTTACCCCTAAATATTTTGGTTAAAGATTATACCGTAGTAAGTTATTATTGAAGTATACTGGGGGCTCTAGTCGTACTTGTTTATTATTTGGGTGGAAGCACATCACTTCAGTTTCATTCTTATTAGGGATTAGTCTCCAGTCGGGCGAAATGTCCTCCCCAGCATGGCCAGACCTTCCGACAGCGTGTTACTGGCCTCCCCCATGGTTTTACTCCGCGATGCAAGAGCTATGTCATCAGCATATCCGAACTTTCCTGACGTTGTGTGTGGCAGGTCGGAAATATATAGATTAAACAGGGCAGGTGCGAGTACCTACCGAGCCCTGAGGCAGTCCATTATTGAGATGTCTCATTTTGCTTTTGTTCCCTCCTGTTATTATTTGGAAAGGCCTATCACAAAGCATGTTGTTCAGCAGGCTGCATGGTACCACGTTGAGATACTTGTAGGAGTCTTTCTCTCGAGATCGTGTCGTATGCTGCAGTCACGTGTTTGGTCAAACACCACCTGTTATTGAAACCCTGCTTCGATGTGTGTTGTTAAGCTAAAAAGGCTAACGACCCAATCGGTCTTTCTGCCCAGAAAGATATATTTTTTTGCGTTTTTGATTAAAAACTTTAAACGAAAACCATAATAGTTTTTGGGAAAAACGGGATAAATTTATTTTCGTTTGTGTCCCGAATTCGACTCAGATTCATCCAAAGCTATAAATATATCTTGTAATTTTTACATCCAGATTATTATATACATCCAGATCGTCAGTATTTTAAGTAAAATTCTACAAAATAGAGCGTGTTTCAGTAGAAAGCAAATAAAAAAAAATCAGTCAAAACTAAAACACTTTTTTTTTACAAACTCTACAGTTATCAGAGGAATGGTAGTTATGAGTTTTCCAAATAATTTATTATACACTTTCACTTATTCAGTTTGTTTTCTGATTATATCAGTTTTCAAAATTATTTGATTTTTGTCACAAATTCGAAACTGGCAAGGGATTTAAAAACTTTTTCCATAGCGACGAAGGAGGAGAGCGTTCTAATAATTTATTTCATATTTTTTTTTGCGAAAAATACCTTAAGATTGTCCAAATTTTTAAGTGATTTTTTTGAAAATTAAGCGTTTAGAAAAAAGAGTAGCTGCTAAAAGTGAAAAATTCTGAACTTTTGAAGAAATGTTAAAAATATTCTTCATAAATGGCCCTTAAAATAAATCTAAAAACAAGTAAAAACGGAACTGAGTTACTGCGTCGGTGCGCTGGGTTAGCGCGCCAAGCCATTTGCGTAGCACTGCGCCGACTCCTAAAAATTAATTGAGTTACGGCTAACACTGCTACGATGGGGCCTGAACGCCCGAATCATTGGTTGATAGCAAAAGTTATGATAAATTAATTAAATATTTTCAAAATATCGCATAATTTTAAAGCATATAAACAAATTTGTAATTGCTCCGAATTTTAATAAAAAGTAATGGCCCATGGGGGGATCGAACCCGCGACCTTCGCGTTATTAGCACGACGCTCTAACCAACTGAGCTAATGGGCCTGTTCATCTTCGAAAGCTTCCACCTATTTTATTCTGGAAACCTCTTTCAATTTGTTATACTAAATATACTTTCATTAATATTGAATTGAAAATGTAAATGTTTAACTGAATGTGACCTACTTACATTTTTGTTACGCAACTCACTTCATATTTCAGAAGTAAAACACTAAACGTTTTTATTATCCTGGTTATAATAAGCAAATATGTCTTTGGTTCACTGTATATTTTGAGGAATTACAGTGTTGTTATTACTCTGTGTTGTCATCATTTCTTTTACTCTCACTAATATAATGTGTTTGAAAATTTGCCAGTTTTCAATAATTTAAAATGTCCTGCAGCTTGTAGAAAAAGGTTAATTTCAGAAAATGATAATTTCAAAAAAGATAATTTCAGAAAATTCAATGAAATCAGATAAACCCTGATTTTCAAACTCTCACTGGGAATAAAGTCAATAAATGAAACACCTTTTTTTCGAAATATGGTCGGACATGTCGCTTATTATTTAAAGTTGTGCACTTCTCGATGTTAAATGGCGTCATCGACAATTTTTAATTGATAGTCCAGGTTTTTTATGACTATCCTTAAAGAGTATGTCAGTTTACACATGCATTCTAAATACCACATTAAAATGTCTTGTTTAAAAATGGTTTGACTGAAATCAACCAGTTCAAAAAATATGTAAATTTGGTTCAACTCCATCCTGTTTCGTCAATCACTGCTCAAAATATTGTTCATTATCTAACTGAGAAAATCCTAAACGAAACAAACTCGTTTTGGACATTTCTAATTACTTGGGCGGAAATTTGTCTACGCTCCTGTCGTATTTGTTTTTGCAACTCCTCATTGTTTTCCGGTTGGATCTGAAACACTTTGCATTTCAAGTACCTACTCGTAGAGGAAATAGTCTATTGGTGTTAAATCCGAATATCTTGGAGGCCATTCAACCGGTCTTCTTCTATCAATCAATCTGCCTAAAAACAGATCATGCAGATACTCAGTCAGCTCTTGCAAAATGACCAGGGGCACCCTCTTGTTGGAAGTAGATGTTTCCAGTCGCTACATCATCCGGATCAGAAAACGCAGCAGCCAAATTGGGAACTAATTATTCTTGCATGAGTTCTAAATAGCTCGCTCCATTGAGAAAATCCATCCTTGAAAATCAGGTCAATTCGATCACCAATAATCCCTATCCAAACATTGATTTTTGACAAACTTTCTGAATGTTGCGAAAGGTCTGCCCTCATCCAGGGCGGGTTTTTGTCTGTCCAATTCCAATAATTAAAATTTTGTTGCAGTTTTTAGTAGATTCATCATTTCTTCCTAATACTGAAGTGTTCTATGCGGATCATCTTCCGTGACTTTTTGGTGGATTGTTATTTTATAAAGTTGAAATTTTTAGGTTTTAATAATTGAGTAACTATTTGAGTGTAACTAACATTTTGTGTTTTTGCTCTATTTCCGTAACCGATGATCATTTTAATTTCAATTTTCTGGATTTCAGTTAAGGTCGACATTTTGATGGCAATCTTTCATCAAACGCTGTTTTTTTAAAATTGCAAGAAACGTTTGATATTTAGTACACATGTTTAAATTGACATACCCTTTAAGATTAGCCTCGAAAAATAGGATTGGCAGTGATGGCAAACTTTTGCTACACTTTTGGAACCCGCTGTTTAAACATTTGTGTTGAATTATACTGAATTTCTTGCATGTTAGATACTCTCACTGTACATCCACATATTATTTGTTTTCTTTGCATTCGGTTGCAAACTTACGTAGGTACTGCCTCGAGATACTTATTTTAGAATTATCCAATATTTTATGCTTTCAGGTTCAACCTGTAGCTGAGTTAAGCGAACTTAGTCGAAGATCTGCTCATGATGGTGGAGAAATCGACTTGGATGACTCAAACATTAGAGGAGGCACTCTAAAGCGATCTGGCAGTAGAAGGTTTAACAAGTCCACGACGGTAAGTTATTTTCTTATTTTCTGCTAATTGCTGAATTGTCAGTCAGCGTCAAACAACATTGAGGTGCCCTGTAGAAGGTGTTGTCCGTATCAATTTTAAATCTCTGGGTCAAGCAAATTAATAAATATTTATCAGTTATCTATGAAAAAAATTGAACGGCATTTTGTACTATTTAACAATACAACATATGTGAAATTATTGTTAAAAATTAGCGATTAAGCCTTTGGCTTTCTAACTGCACTAAGTATGTTCTTCAGAACTCGGAATGGGGGAAATCAAGTACGAAACAACACTAAAAGTACAACATATAACATTGAATGAATTCCACCATTAAATAGATGAAACCGTGAACCGAGCAGTAATATGCAGTGTAACTTTTCTCTTTGATTAAATATATTTTATAGATAATACTATGTGGTTTGCTCTTCTGATGATTTCAGCAATCTATTTTTGCCTCAATAAATCGATAACTTATCATAATTAATAATTCTGCGAAGTCGTTTATAGCCGCAATAGATTCTCTTATTACTGATCACCCATAAAAGGATCGGTGTATTTTTCTGTAAAACTGGATGTTTTTGGAATCTCTTGGGCGTCTGTTTTCATTACATTTATTTTCTCTTTATATGGTCATATAGCAAGAACGGCATGCATTCTGCACATACTTTGAATTAATTAATTATGTGACCGTTTACTGGCTTTACTGGGCTATGATATAACAATTGTTGTTGAATATCTAAATAAAAATGTTCAATCTAAGAACAGGTTTCAGTTTAAATTCCTTCTCCGATCGATTAATTCATCTGGTTAGTATTGTACTATCATCATGGGCGTATCACCATTATGGAGTTTTATCGTAAATTATCCTGTGACTACTATTAAATTACGTTTAATAAGTGTTTTTTCGAAATGTAATAATGATTATTTTAACATTACTTTAACTTATTCATTCATAAGTTCCCAATTTAAAACTAGACTTTAATATTAATATTTAAGTAATCGAGTCTTTAGTTGTCGATTAACAAGGTATATTATATATATTAGGATTATATATTGTATTTGCAAATACGACAAAATGGTAGAAAAATCGGGAATACATTTTTCTAACTAATTTTACTAACGCAAATCAAATTAACATGGTGCCAAATAAACTTAACTCAAAAGAGAGTTGTACCCAAATTTACATGTACCTACTTAATGTGAATCTATATATCTGGTACCAAGCAGATGCAGATCTATATTTATATGAATTTTTGCGAACTTGCGCGGTTATAATTATGCAACTTAATTTTGGGTCACTCTGTATAATTTAGAGTCAGCATTTTATCTAAACATTTATATATTGATAGCAAGTATCTATATTTCGCTTCTCTAATGCCGAGAAATTTTTTGAACGTTTCAATCGAAATACACATAGGTATATCACATTATATATTTTCCTAAATAGGCGGATTTATTCTGTTTTCATTAGTCCAGTTCAGTTTAGAAGAAAAATTGATATTGTGGTACATATTGAAAGTACATAAGAATCATTGGAAATGTCCCATCCCTTTTATCAATGAAAAGGAAAGCGAATATGGGCTTAGGAGGTATTGCAAACAGACGACGTACTTCAATACTGACTTTTTATAGAAAGTAAAGGTTGATATTAAATACATTCAAAACACTTTAAAGCACAGTTTAGAATTATTCAAATTTCACTTTGAGAGTAGACTTAAATTAGCATTACTTGAGTTTTTCACCTACTTAAGTCAGTGCTACATTTCCTTAAGACCAGCTTTTAAAGTGAGCTGGACAACTGGAGCCCCCAGATATGCAGGCTAATAAATTAATGGACACAGTAAATTCGTAAAACCGTGTCTGTTTACAAAACATGCATTTAGAAGCTAATAATAAATTACGTACTTAAATGTATTTTAAGCGGTGCGCTACTGACTTATTGCATGACTCTTGTGACTCTCAAAAGGTCACTAGGTAATGTCTAGTAAATGCACTTTGGCGAAGCATCGGAAAATGTACTTTTATTTTCTCTTTATGTAGTGGCTTAATAGGTTCGTACTACTTCGAAGAATTGACATAGAAAAAGTGAGAACGTGATGCAGAATGGTAATTTCGATAATCAAAGTAATCCTCTAGGCATGTTGTGGGAGGTTCGCTGGCCGAAACTGGGTCGTTCAATGATGATATAAATATCTGGCCAAATGTTTATATGTCGGTTTCGTGATATGGTTCTATTTGGCGAACTATCCTGATCTAAGAAGTCACGATTAACATATCTAGTCATCGATGTCTTGCGCTAAGTTCTATTAAATCGCTTAAAAGCCATGTGGACCCAATTTGACTTGGTGTATACGCAACATGCTCATAGTCATATTCGTTACAATGTAAATGCGTTCATGGTAATATCATGACATTTTTCCCGCAATTATGCATACAGAAGTAAAACAAAATGCACCAAGCAACATAGGAATTGTTGAAAATGCAGAAATATTTCTCATTAAAAACTGAAAGAAAAGTAATTTACTTAATATTACATTTTCATAGTTTTCATAGCAGTATTTCAAAATATCTTCCGAATTTCGAATCTTGCAAAGGTCAATGCTTGACCTTCTACTTATTATTCGTTATACTAAAATCACCTTTGTTTTGCCAACTATCAATATCTCGATCATTTGGTACATTCTGTAGGTACACACCTTTTTGAATCAAAATTCTGCCTGGAAATTGCTAAACATCTTTCATACAAGTTGCAATTGCGAACAGCAGTAACCTATTTTTATTTATATTGTTTGATATATTTATGCTTATTCCTGGACCCCTCGCAAAATATTGATGAAAGCTACAATAATGAACTTATACTACGAATTGAATTGCATTGTTCCAATCTTTTAGCATAAATGGAATCATTTTTTATCAGTGTGTATTCACGATAAAGCATTTTTTTCATTTTTATTTAATAATTTTGTCTAATTATTTATATTGTCAATTTACTTAATTGTAATTGTGCATTCGTGCTGTTATAGTTAAGCAACTCTAACGTATTTCATGGGTGGGTACCAACATTCTAAAAATCGGGAGCCCTTGAAACTTGAACGCGGAAACATTAAAGAAGCAAGAGTAAACAACCGTCTAAAACTGGGTTAGTTTAGAAGCGAGTTGTATATACTTTCAACGGATTAATTGCTTAAAAATAAGGAAATGAATTATAAAAGTGCAGATAGAACAACAATTGTCAAAAAGAGTATTTATTTAAATATATTTGGTTCACACATTGTAATCCGTTTGTAATTTATTTAAAAACCAAATATATGTTTGGATTACAATTTAAGTAGGGCACATGTACTTTTAATACACGTGTTCAGGAGATTTGTTTTGAAAATTAGTACCACGCGTTTCCAACTGGAGAATTTTTACCACAATTTATCAATCTCGGACTAAATGCGTTTTCCTAAAAACTTTGTTAGATATTTTATTTTATGAAAGACTAAATTTAATTGATTTAGATTGAGGAACTATTTGTAAAATTGCTCCAGTTATTGTGCAAGGCTCTATGGACACCAAAAAATTGGGCAGAAGTTTCTGGCGTATCTAAGAAGATCTTAATACAAATTAATTCAAACTTCAAGATTAGAAATATACCGTTCACACATTATTATTCTTATTATTTGTTGTCTTTTTTATGTTTTGACTTTAGAAATATGGCTGAAACTGAGGGCAAATTACTAGTCACTACAAACATTAAAAATTTACTAATAACTTAATAGTTAGTTTCCTTTATAATTTTTTATTTTCTTCTTTGAGACCTCAGTTTGTGTCAACAAAATACTATCACGATTTGAAAACTTCTTGACTCTCCCGAGGTTATTTGAATAATATTGGATAATTAGTATATCGTTTCTGTTCTTTCTGGATGAAACTAAACATTTTATTATGGCCAGTTATTTTACCTTAGTTTAGTTTTCTACATACCATAGATTATTGAATTTTGGAAATACTAAGTGTTTCCCGAATCTTCGGAGCCATTTGCAATTAATTAGAGCCGTTGCCATCGGAAATCCATATATAAAAAATAAATGTTTAACCATATATTTTTCTCTTTAAAACATGGAGATCTAGGTTTCCGACTTAGTTCTAGTTATCCGTTCCGCGAATGTACTTCTTACACTTTGTATTCCGATCGATATATTAAAAAATATTTGAACTTGAAAAAGACAATTAACGATGAAAGCGCAAAAGTGAATCGCGGATTCAAAGCATTTCCATGACAAAGCAACTGCAATACTTAAAACTTTACATTTTTGCTTCGAAACAACACCCCAAACAAACAAAAATACCGGAAGATAAAATCAGTGTTTATTTTTTTTTTCGGAAATTTTCAGTTTACATTTTCTATTGCGGCTCACCCTGTAGAATAACTGCAGTCGCAGCAGGGCAAGGTCGAATCCAGTGAAGCAATTTTGCAACTTCCTCATATGATTATCTTTTAATCAGGACTGAAAACAATGAACGCTTTCTTCTCTAACAGGAAAGTAGTTAATGGCGTTGTTTTATGCAGGGGAATTAAGCACAATTAACATGCATAAAGCAACAACTAAACAACATTTTAAATACCATCGGTTTACGAAGCGGTTTTTACATGCAAATTTAACTGTTTTGTCGGAGTTTCCTGGCACCGTTTGTTCATGGCTCATTCCTGCAAATTGAATTTTAGAACAACATTCAAATGCTTAATGTATTTTTTCAGTCCCAAGTTGCAATTTGTCAACGTATTGATTCAGTTGTCTGTTGGCGTTTTCATATCTCGAAATTCTTGTCAATATTTACTACATTTCTTGTTTGTTATAAGACACTCAACTGCTTATTTATTGAGAAGCAGAACACATTAGAAACACATTAAGTCCGATAAAACGAAGTGTTTTTGGTTTTTATCAGTGTTAGATCTGACACCGATATTTATTTTGTACCTAGACAATGCGTAATCGAATATTTTAACTTGAATT